TATAGGGACATATGTTAGTCAGATGTACGATGTTAAATTATATTTGATCTTTTCAATGTATAAAGGTACTATTATTTCATTAGAGGATTAAGTTACTGGGTGGTTTCAAGTGATCAATTTTATATCAAAAAATATTTTTATTATTCGATCAAATTTCTCTATGATTTGATTGATTAAAATAATTTAACATTTAACCACTTAAAAAATATAAAACATAAAATATTATAAATTTTCCAAAGATATCAATTTAGATGGTAAAAATCTTGATAGTTGATAGCATAATTTTGGAATCTATTATTGGGACAAAGAAAATGTCCAAATAATAAAAAACCCTGAGAATAATTCTTTTGCAATACATTGTTAAAATAATAAAATATCCAACCAAAAGATAATGGGGCTTAAAAACATCAAAGTATTTGCCTTATGTAGTATCAACCTATAATACTAACTGATTTATGATGAAAATTTATTTTAAAAATATTATTATTTTTTAAAATGAAACATTTTTTTATTATATCATTTACTTAAAAGTTTACTATGTCAACTAATGCACTTTTTTTTTTACAGGAAATTGAGGAAAGAACAATTATATCAGTCCGTGATGATGATGAGCACAGTGATAGACGTTCCATATCAGAAATATCCGGTTCCAGGTAAAATATTATAAAATATGAAATCTATATTGACACTTTTTTCAACATCTCTTATCTTATTTGAGAAGTACAATAATAACCAAGCCAAGTCGTAAAGTTCCAATCATAGATCTTTTGCTATCGTTATGATTTATAGAAAATCATTTCTTTAGTTAAGAATATTTGTTTCTTCATCTTATTTGAGAAATAAAAGATAAAAATAATGTTTCATATATTTCTTAGTACATCAGTAAATGATAAATGTATAATAGAATTTGTATAGCATAACATGTTAATTGATGATATACTCATGCCACCATTATGATGAGATTTGATTAATTTCAAATACTTTTAATGCATTGTAATATTTAAGAACCTAATCCACTTAAAAAATTTATCAAACATGTTTTACTTAGAAATATAAAAATTGGATAAAAACCTAACGTGAAGTAAAATGGATGATATTGGCTCAGTTGTTCTGGTTACTAAAGTAATCCAAACATAGTATTCTTGACTATCGTTAGATTGATTAATCTGTATTCTTGTAATTCTTAATGTATACGTAATAATTGTGAATATTAATGTTAGTCAAAGTTTGATATTTCATAAGGCATTAAGAATTACTAAAAAAATGTACGATTAATTTTTGTGATAACTTTATGTTTAAACAAAATCAATATGCCTATTATACAACCCGGTTCCCAATATCTTTTCATAATTTTTAAGATTTTACCGATTTGGTTTAATTGTGTTCTTCTGATGTTACTTTTTGAATAATTTAATTTTGTTATTTAGTTTTATTATGATACTTACTATAATGTTTAAACTTTTAATGCTTAATCATATTCACCATGTGATATCCATAATGTTAAAAAATTATTAATTATTGTGTAAACATTGCTCTGGATTTTAAAATCTATTATTTCTAATGATTGTATTTTTTTTCATGCAGTACCCTTGAAATTCCTGAAATGAATATTATTGAAAATGAAATGATCATCCCATGGTATAAGGTTATTGATAGTATCTTACTTATTAAAAGTTTTTTAATAAGTATTATACTATCATTTATATTAGTAGATTTATTCATGACTACGGGTATGTCAGTACCAGTAGAATTTCCAGTAAGCTTGGGAGGTCATATTTTACATTTTCTTGGAAGAATATTACGTGTAGCATCCAATGACCTAAATTTGCAAAAGATAAATCTCCTTCGCACTACTGTTGTGACAGCTTCGTCGATCATATTTGGAGGTATATACAATTTGTATGATTTTTATTTTAATATTTACATTTTATTTATTTATTTTATACTAATATTTTTTTGTTAGGTGCATACGAGATATACTTGGTTGGAGCTCAAAAAGAACATATGTCAATCAGTTTATGGAAGATGATTCTTTTCATCATAGTGATTTCAATAGGTGGGCAATTCTGGATTACGTATGTGAAGAAAGTAAGTATTTTTTTTTATTATAACTATGGTAATTATATGATAATTTTTAACTTGAAATTATATTATACTAAAAATTATGCATATCTTAACAATTATTCTTTCTTTTTCAGGTTATGGTTGTGAAACTTAATCTTCAATACTCAAATGCAGCCACCACTTATGCCTTATTAGACACATTTTATCGAGATCACATGAAGAATATAAGGTAATTTACAATTTAAAATATTAAATTATTTTGTAAGAATTTGAATATAATATAACTCATTGTTATATAAATGTTATAGGAAACAAAGCATATATTATGGACTTACATTTCTAATAAGCTTCATTTGGGGATTTATTCGATGGATTTTTGCAAGAAAAGCAGGGTGTGGTCTCCATACCTTGCCTATATTTGGCAGATTAGCATTCCAGAAACAGTAAGTTTGTATTTACATCAACTTCATTATAATTAAAAGTTATTTTATAGTTAATATCATTTTTGTTACATTAGATGTGATGAACTTAAATGTATTTTGAAATAAGTAAATTATCTTTTATTATGTACAATTTCTATCTTTGAACTCAATTTTTAAAATCTTATATTAGAGTTTCTTATAATGAGCTAAATAATGATAATTTAATATTATTAATATAATGATTAGATTTTATAGATTGTACATCCATGTAATATTAAAAAATAATTTAAGCTTACAACAATTTACTTTGTATTATTCTTGTTATTGATTTTTAACTTTAGATAAAAAAAGTTATGATGACAAATTTACTGATCTTCTCGTTATCTTCTATTTACAGGTTCTATTTTGACTTCTCCACGACCTATATTGGTCTAGGCATGGTAATTCCCAAAAGACATACACTTTCCATGTTTCTTGGAGCAGTGATCTCATGGGGAATCTTGTGGCCATATTTGGAAACGAAAAGAGGCCAGTGGTATAATGAAAACATCAATTTTTCTAATATAAGAAGCCTCGAAGGATACAAAGTAATTTCATATCTTTTACCTTCTCTTAATTTAGATATTCTATTATCCAAAATTTATTATCTCTTTTAATGTTTATGCAGTAGACTTGCATGAAGTCTTTAACACTAGCCTTTAGATATATTCTTAATCTAAAGTATATAATTATATACCCATATAAAGAATCAAATATGATATATAATCATAGACTTAATTAGTTTTGTTTATTATATGCTTATACACAAAGTCAGTCTTCTCGTAGTCTCATAAAGTCACCTAAGGACAAGCACTCATATGACACTATTCTAGAAATTATCATGTGTGACTTGGGAGTTCCAAGAGTCTAAGATGAATGAAGTTTTGAGGGGCCACTCTGAGGACCCAACTATAATGCACCTCCTAGCTTCTAGTTAGTCAATTGTTGTTATTATTGAGTAATCGAACTTTGATCACTAGTGTTACTTCAACTCACTAGTCATTTTGACTCTATTAGTGGATCGAATTATGCTGATCTTCACTAGTTCCAATAGATCCTTCAAATGAGGAAAAGACCTTCATTTATAACATATTATATTAGTTGGATAGGATGGAAGTTTATTGGAGCTTTAACAATATCATCTTATAAAAGTCAAAGATTTGAGACCTTGCTCTTCACAATATTTGCATATCAATTCTTCTTCTGCATAATTGTCATCTCTAAGTAGGTTCATATTCTCTTCACTTTTGATTGCCATTTTATTGGAAATAAAGTAAATAAACGATCTTTGGTAAAATCGATCACCATTAGTGAGGATTCGATAATTATTATATATTATTAAGCACTTCAATTGACCTTCAAAAATATACAGAACTCTTACTAGATAACTAAGAGAACCTGGATACTTAGATTTACCCATGCTTTCAAAAGTTGGGAATGCCAAAGTTACTTGACTTTATCTACCTCCTTGAGAGTTGTACTTCATACATCAACTTAGCTAGTTATCATTTAATGTTGCAATCTTTGCTTTCACTTTTAAAGTGCTCAAAGTATTATACTTGCACTGAGTTAGCTATTAAGATTGGTCTTCTCGTTGCCATTGAACTTTAAAAATGTAGGAAGTATTGCTCGAAAGAGTAAAATTTCACTTCGATTTGAGCAACTTTGTATTTGTATTGATTATCCTTGGGATTGTACCACCTTGTCTATTATTTTCACTATCATCTCCTTTAAGCAAAAAAGAGTATAACACAGCATACTGCCCACCATATTCCTAGTCAAGCACCACTGGGTCGACTTGAACCCTCCACTTATGACTATCATGTTGAGAAGCCCTTTAAAATAGGTCTTATAAAATCCTCCTTTCGCCTTGTCTTGGTACTTGGAGTTTGCCACTACATTTTTCACCTCCTTTATCCCCTTTTATGATTATGCATTCTCCTCAATAAGAGCAAGGGATCGGTGTCTCCACGAAAATTCAACCTCTATAAAATTATGGCTCTCTTGCGAACCCACATCCCTACTATTCATCGCTTCACATCTGCATCCTTTTTCTTCGTAATTGAAAAATCCACCACTATTACCTTGTGGCCTTTTGGACTCATCATATCTTCCTCGACCATTTTAACTCATTGCTTCAACACCTTTGTGTTTCTCAAGTAGTTTTTCTTTGGTCGATGAAAAGAAAAATTATAACTTTTGCACATGGCCTCCACCATCATGTTGTGGGGCTTTATTGATTTTTCTCCTTTACATCATTGGTAGAAATATTTGCTCACTTGGACTTATCAATTGACTTGTCGAACTCCCTCGTGCAAATATGAGTTCTGGAATGGTCTACCCTCTAGCTTTTCTAATCATACTTGCATTTGGTCCCTCATTAAACTCATTGGTACTTGCATTCAGAATATCCACTTCCATGGTATGACCTTCATCTACTAATGTCCAAGGCTTTTATTCAATGAAATTTGTTGCACACAAGGAAGATCCTCTTTTGTAGTACTATGATATTCACTCTTCGAATTTATGGTGCTTCTTGCTATCATGTTGTTCCTCGAAGCTAAGCCCAAACATCTCCAACCATCCTTGAGGACGATTAAGTTCCTCATAGGACTTCTCAATATCTCGTATTTCCTTGAATTGTTCCACAATAATCAATTGCATCACGTCACATTCTAGTGATGCCTTTATTTTTCATTGAACTTGGTTTGGTGAACTTAGCCTAATCTTTGCCACTACAGCCTCCACCAACACATCATAGGGCCTATGCTATTTCTAATTATGTTTGCTTATTCGCCTATTGACCTTTGTCCACTTGTACATGGGTCACTCATGGATGAAGCTTTGCTTTAGCTCGATTCGCTATCTAGTAGCTCTAGAAGTCCTCTGACTTTGCTAGAGATTGGTATGCCATTGTTTGGATTTGTTAGGCTTTGCTCCCCACATAATCTCCATTGTACACCTCTTCTTTTGCAGCAACTAAAATGGAAGCACTTTGGTATATTCTTCGAAAGAACTTGCCTCTATGCCCTCTTACCCCATGCCAAGACCTTCTAACTCTAACTTTATACTATAAGTTGAGTCGGTCTCCCATCTTAGCCTTCTATCAATCACCTCCTTTATTATAGTTCATTTTCTTAACGTTTTTCCATGGAAAGAGCTCTAAGACATTAGTGCTTTGGCCCCAAGTTCTGCCTTTTAAGTCATACACAAGTTGCTCTACTCTACAATTTATAATGAGATGATGGTAGTCCTCATGTCCACCATTCACCATCAATCCTCTGTTAAGCTTCATGTTCTTCTTATCAGTTCTAAGTGTGCTTTCATTTAGTGTTGTCTTCACATGTTCTTCTAGAAAATTCAGAGATTACTATCTCCGAAGAATGCATTGTTACCAAGACACAACAATGCCTGACCACTATGAATGCACTCACTAGACGACTCTTTATTAGCCCTCTATTGCACCCCACAAGACTTAGTAATGTGTTGAACCCACAACACAGATTAAAGTCTTATGAATATATCATTTTCTTTATGCCAAAGAGAAAGTTTCTATTTTCCATAGTGTCGAATTTTGATTATCTTGGGATAGCCATAGACAATTAGTTGTCCGTATATAAGCCATTATATGATCATCAAATTGTTTGAGTTGACAATTCCCCTTTTCTCTGTAAAGCTTTACACAAACCTTTTTGGTCATCGAGCAACTCATTCCTACTTGCATGGACTCATCCTCTGCCAAGCTTCCCCCCTTACATTGAGCATCATCAAATTAGGTTGATGATATTAAGTCGTTGCTTGAACTCGACCATCTCAACTTTTATACTTTACGCGTTCTTTCGAGCTTGCTTATCCTCATGGTCCCTCTCACAAAGAGCTGACTATTCCTCTAAATATCAATCCCAAATATTCACTCTCCTGAGCGACTCCATTTTGTACGTCGCTATGCTTATTTAGCTAAAATAATCATGCATGCTAGTTGCTCTCCATGTTGCTTTGCTAGGTCCCCACATTGCACGATAGATGTTTCTTAGCATGCTTGTCTGACTTTGATACTATATATCATAGATTTAGTTAGTTTTTCATAATCGACACCCTTGCATACCCATCCGTAAAGGGTTAGCCTTCTCATTACCTCATAAGATCCTTTGCAAAAGAAAAAATAAATTAGTAGAAGTGAAATTTCAAAATCCCATAAGCAGACATTTCATTAAACAATTATAGGCCATACAAAGATGGACTTTGTAAGCTCTGAATAGGCATATGACAAAAGGTTTAAGATCGTCCATTAGACAAAAGTCCCAACAAACAAGTGCTCATACGATATCATCATAGAACCATGTGATGGACCAACCCAAAGTACTACCCCGAAAGCCCATCCAACCATATGCCACCTAAGGTTCCAATGGTCTAATGAAAACCCTTGCAAATTGTAGGCCACTTGCTTCCACGTGACACTAGCACACAAGCTATGATTACAAGTCAAGAAGCATCATAAAATCCAACAAAATGAGGTTGTCAAACTTATTGTAATTCTCTTACATGCTGCTTAATATATAAACAAACGAAAGGCATAAACTTATGTAAATCAAAATAATTGTTATGTAGTTGTAATTTTTATATTTTATTTATTTGTTTATTTGTTACTTTATTATGTCCTATGTATACTAAAATCATGGAATATATTCCTTTTTTTTTTGCAATTTATGATTATGACATTAGAACATTAAATATTAATATAATTTATTTCTAATGTTTAAATGTGTTTTGCAGGCTTATACTTATATTGCAATTAGTGTTGGGGATGCTGTTTTTCAGTTATTTAAAATGATTGTGAAATGTGTTAAAGTCATATTACAGAGGGAGGGGGTAAAAGATGTTGATCCGGAAGAAGAGGGGCAAAGGCAGTATTTTATTCAGGAGTTAATTCCTATAAAGTTTATCGGTCCTTTGCATATATGCATTATAGTCCTTCATTTTGTATTCATCCCCCTTGTTCTTCCATTAAGATGGTACCATATTGTTTATCTTATAATCCTTTCCCCAGTCATATCATTTTTTGCATCATTCTCCTATAGTGCAGCAGATTGGTCCATTGTATCCACTAGTGGTCCTATCATTGTATTCTTGATAGCTGCGTGGTCTAGTTCTTTTTGGGGAGGGTCACTAGTATGGTTGGCATCTTGTGCTGTTTTACTTTGTGTGGGAATGAGATCATCCACCATCATTGAAGATTTCAAGATAGGGTATCTTTCTAGGACATCCCCTCGATTGATTTTCTTTGGACACACTTTTGGCATTCTCTTAGGTAGTGTGGTTGGTGTATCAGCCTACTTCCTTAAAGTTAAATCCTTTTCGATTGGTACATCAGCTGGAAGACATAATGTTCCCTATGGAACTCTTTACAGGGGAATGGATTTCATAGCAAACAATGATTGGAAGCATTTACCACAAAATTGTTTTCCCCTATCTATTATGTTCTTTTTCATTTCAATATTCCTTAATATTCTCCACGAATGGTTAAAGAACAAGAAGTTTTCATGGTCTCAGTATGTGCCCGATCCAGTTGCACTTGCAATTCCATTTCTTAGTGAGCCTCACTTTGTCATTAGCATGCTCGTAGGACTCATTATAGATTTTATTTGGAGAAAGTATCAGATAGTCCAAGTGGAAATTCTAGGACCTGCACTTGCTTGGGGTATTATATGTGGAGAAAAACTTTGGGATCTGCCTGCTGCACTACTTGAACAGAAAGGTCTAAAGCCACCTATATGCCTACACGGCTAAGGTATATTAAATATCAATTTCAGTTCATGTGCATTATTCTCTTTCTTAATTTATACATATGCTCTTTTTTCAGTCTTATCTATTATTAACTTATAATTTCTTATAACTTACAGTGGTGCAATATGCACAGGGAGCAATGATGTCATATTTTTTTGTCAGCTGTGTTGGTGCCCTTGAATCTCTGAGAAGTATGTTATCTTTTCTAATATTTTCCCTTTGAATTAGAACTTTTTGTATTAGAACAGCATGTTCTTACCTATTAATGTTAGTTGCAAAGAAATTATATGATTTTCTAAAATGCATAAGTCAGTATGGTCATTTAATTGATGACTAAAAATATTGTTGTTCGTTTGAAAAGATAACATCGTAAGATAGAATTAGTGGCATAGGCTGTGGTATTGTGGTTTATCTATTTGGCAACCAAGAGTGAAAAATTAAATATCCTACACTTGCAAATGATGAGTAAGTGTATGTGGAAGATTCGTATGGAGTTCAACGTACACGGCTTCTTTGGCATATCAAATGATGGTGACATGTATGGACTCAGAACTGTTAGCTTTCTGATTTTGAATTAGTGTTCTACAGATACATCCAAAGTCTCAGTGATTTTTATGTTTCTTATAGGTTAATTAATTTATGGATGAAATGTATCTACATATATGATGTATGGAAAATTTGAAATTATAAATTTCCATGACAATATACTACTATAGAATGCCCCTGTTAGCTTGTCCATGTGTGTTTCTGAGATGGCTAACAACCAACAATAGTGATATGATGTAGTCTTCTAACCTGACTACAATTGAAGTTACCTTGAAATCATTATTCAATGTCTGCAGCAATTTTAATTGACGGAAACTTGATAGTTCTCAGTCACTACTGAAAGCTAATTTCCTTTTTTACCTTTTCATGATAATAT